TCCCTTTTCGCGGCTATTTTTTTATCAATCACACCGTGTCGCCGGTGTTCGAGTGCTTTTATGTGTTCAACGTGACCGCGGGTGGCTTTGGCGGCAACATGATCGCCGGTGCTACCGGTTTCAATCTAGTGATGATAATACACGGTTCGGGAATGTTCGCTGTTCTATGAAGAAGGCTGGAGAGAAGATTCTCATTCTACCGCTATTCTAAGGAATTATGTGATTCTTCACCTAAGAAGCGATAGAGTGTCACTTCTCCTATCTGTGAATTTGCATTTTAATTCTGTTGCATGTCAGTCAAATATTAATAAGTTAGATTATATATTTTTTTTTATTCAATAACATTTATTTTTCCTTATTCCATAAATTCGAATCTCTCTCGCAAGTGCACATTTAACTAACATTTCCAATGGCAATTACATGCAATATTTATCGAAGCTTTGAATCATTCCTCGTGTCGATCAATTACCAATATAAGGGCACGCTGATTTACGTCTAGATGGAACAATCTGTTTGCAGGTACGCAGATACACTGCAGAGGATAATAAATATTCTGGCTTTAGGGCAATTCGTCATCAGCACCGGAATGCTCTGCTTCGCGGGATTGCAAATTACCTCGATCTGCTCGCGAATCAAGGCGTCGTCGATGAAAAAAAATGGTAACGTTCCCAGATGATGGAGGACAAAGGTCGCCTGATGAAATATTCGATCTTCTTCAACTCGGCGATTCTCGAGCTGTTCATGTTCAGCTTCAGTGGAAACGGCCTGATGGAAGAGATGATCGTTAAAAATTACACGCGATCATTTTCATAAGAATGCTGCTTATATAGATGTTGAAAAGATTCGATTGAATAATCGTCGATCAGTGTGACATCCACAGAGCGAGGCAGTGGGCCATTCCGCTTATGGTAGTGGATGGATCGGTAGCGGTTTCTCTCAGATTCTTCAGATTATGATGATCCAACTGTGGCCAAATCCTACGCCATGTCACTGGAGAGTTTCTCAGCGATGAATAAAATAAAAAAAGAAAAAAAATGTCTGAAAGAAAGATTCCTGAAATTGACGAGAATATTTGTATTATTTGTTACGAGAATGAGATACTCGTCCAAGAATGGTTGAAGTTTCTCCTTCATGGAATTTTGCAGGTTCTGAGTACGTCGTTCTCGTACTTCACGGTTCTCACAGCCACCAAAGAGGAGTAAATGAGTCGTACCAATGAACGTGGACGATTCGTACGACGGGCTTTACGATCGTAGACGGTGTTTCTCGATGACTAAACTTACAGAAGAGAATATACTTTAGTCGTTCCACTAGTCTAAAAATACCGCTGTGAAACAAAGTGTCGACGGGGAACTCATTCTGTTTTTCTCTCGATCGATCGTATTTAAAGGTAGTTGGAATCACGACAGAAACTTTTAGAATAAACTAGAAAAACAGGGGGATTTCCAGTGATAATTTATTTAGCATTAATCGATGCTTTGTTTCCTCACAACTTTGTTTTCCCTTGCAAAAAACAAAAGAATCTTATAATCTCACATGATGTGTATTCAAACAAATGTGTATCACAAGACACGGTTCCTTAATTAGCCAAAATACTACACGCAGATTTATTTCAAGACGTTTACGAAAGATCGAAGCTATTTTAGGAGCAGATAATTCCAATTGTAATCAGAACAAGCGTTAGATGACTCATAAGAGACAATAATCCTTCGTTTCTTGGAGTAACTTGTAGCACTTTGCGAGGAAGTATCGGACGACAAGTAATGGAGTGCCCGCAGGAGTTTGGGCAAAATGTTACGAGTTCGGCCGAGTTCTCTCACTCTCTGGGTGGGGTAAACCATCGGCGTATGGTCTTGGAAGCGACTCGCGGGTATTTTCATCGCAACAGTA